TTCTTTACTATTTCCCTACTCTGATCAATTCCAGGTGGATACTGGATGGCGGAGAAATATTTTAAACGGGCCACGAATCATCCGCAATATTCTTTCCTCTCCAGCCTGTCTCCATTACCATACTTATGGACGGACGATATGCTGATCTCATCTCTAATGGCTCACTATCATGACGCAGAAAATCCTTCGGCAATACTACGAGTATGTAGATGTCAGGGCAAAATCTATTAAGGATTGAAACGAAAGAGAAATATGATGGTAACTAATTTTATTTTAGTAGGTTGATAGTCTATTATTCGTAGCTTTTGTTCATTATTTTTTCAAAAATGTAATATATATAGCGCTTGCAAATCCTAAAAATATTGCTTTTGAATGTGTACTCTAATTATTTTAACTCCTCAGAAAATAATATCTAAATTACTACAAAACACATAATATTTTACATTATGGAACAAAAAGTTTATCTAGATATTTGCATTAGTCATGGACAGAAATATATTTTAAAATTACACGAAATATCTCATTAACTTTATACATGCATCAGCGACTTTTTCTAGCAGATGCCAAGATGTAATCTTACTGTTTACAGATTAATTATAAGAAGAATTCACTGTCTCACTGTGGGAACGTCAGCGAAACATCAAACTAATGTTTGCTTTGACCATATAAGAAAGCTGACGAATACTAATTGGCGAGTGCACAGGCTTCAAGTACAATTTACGACCCACGCCTCCACGTCAACTCCGCCATTTTACGTCCGGTATGCCCTTCTCGGGCGACCACCAGGATCCAAGAGTCTGTGGAAAGGATGTAACGAGTTCTGCTGGCCACAGCAGCTAACCTACACAGGCCGACATTTATATAATTCTCTATTCATTCAGACAAAAAGAGCGTCTACAAAGCAAAATAAGTCAGTCATGTGCGCAACCTTCGTTCACAATATAGCAAGACGGCAACGCCCCATGCCATGAATGGAGAATGCTACTCCACAATGTGTGGGTAGTGATAATACGAGAGCTGACGTTAGCTGTGGTATGCAGCTGAGAAAATAATTAATTGTGTTTTAAAATTACTCTAACTATATTTGAGAAGGTAAAATTGATGAGATACGGAAATCTAGAATCTCATGAACACATATTGAAAATTAATGAATAATTCGAAGATGAAGGTCTGGGTACAAATTTTATCTTCGTAACGAAGAAAAGAAATCAAGAAGAAATGGGATATTCCATGATACCTTTGAAGGACACAAATCCAATCGTACAGTTTAGTACTATACAAACAGATGACACTTTTATTTGACTTGTAAAGACATGATTAATGTCCTCCTCCATCGAGAGTTGGATCAGATATCTTGCAGAAATATATATATATATATATATATAAATAAATATATATAAATATATATAAATATATATAAATAAATATATAAATATATATAAAAAATATAGATAATTAAATAATTCGATATCAAATAGACTTAAAATTATAGCAATGAAAACGATTTTTTTTACTATTCAAGAATTTTCGTAGAACTAAGACATTTTATTTATTAAATTTCATCCACCTTCAAGTCAAATGCTGCTGTTCTCTTACCGTCTGCACCTGTTGCTTGAGAGAGTGTGAACAATGTCCAACATGAGCTGCGTAAGAGCTGCGCGCGGCACGTGACTCACCTCTGTGATGTTGGGCAGGCCGAAGATGAAGGAGACGGCGCACACCATGAGCACCAGCGCCTCGTGGCAGCGCAGCCGGCGCCGCACCCACAGCGGAAAGCCGTCCTGCAGGGACGTCACCACCACCTCCACGATGGCGAACTGCGCACGCCGCGCGTCTCGCGTCACCTCACCGCACACCGCCTCAATCCGCCTCGCATCATCCGCATTGTAAACATCTCGCCGGCCGCGACAGCTGAGCGGCAACACCGTTGGCTTTACAGGGTCGTTGACTGCGAGGTCCTACGGTTCGAGTCCTGGCGGTGGCGGATTTTCGCCGGACTTGCTGCGTAGCTGAGTCGAATTCTTCCACTGTTTGGGGGAGAATTCTAGCGGTCGGATAGAATTCTCACTAGGCAAATACCAGAGCAGTACCTTACGTTCGTAACAAACGGGTCGAAGATTGTACGCGATCTTTCCTTTCCCATTCTGGTCCCTTTTTTCTCTCTCCCTTTCAAATACACTTAAACGCGCTACACTACCACACATATCGGATACCCTGTCATGAGTATAGAACTTCTTTCGGTTGGGCAGGGCACCGCTAAGAGGAAATACCCACATGCCGATGTCGGCGCGGGTCTCATTTACCAGTGGGAGTGGAACTCTCAGACCACCCGGAATATAACATGAATTACACTTACGGGACTAGTTATCTAAGCTGTTAACGCGCTTAATACTCTCTCACCTATCGCCCGTCACTTCAATCATTTTCACTTCATTTCAGCCCTCTTCGTCTTTTTAGCCTCGTCGGAACCTACTTCACTTTCTTTCTTCACACCATTATCTTTCTTCCTCTCACATCTTCTATTCTCCATCTTTGGTTTGACTCTAGTACCAGTTCTTTCCGCTTCTCTCCCTTTATCACACTTTACATTCCTCTCCTTTTCATCTCTCCTCTGTGGTCTCTCCTTTTCTAAATATTCCCAACCCACATCACTTTTATATCATCACATTCTCAGAGGAACGAGCCATTACTTTATTATTAATTCGCGTTCTATTAACCTATTACGATCATTTTATTCTCCTCAAAATAAAAAGAGCTCTTATTTTGTGAATTTTTGTAATTTGTAAATTCTCTATTTTAATATATGTTTTTAATTATTGATAACATATTTACCAGCATCAATTTTTGTTTTCTCAAAATTTACAATTACATATGTAATTTCTCAGTACAATGAACATTTAACAAATTGTAGAAGCAGATATGAACATTATATAGATATGTAATATAAATAAATATGTTTACTTTTATTGACCCCAAAATCATTTGCATTAAATTGCAAATAAGCGGTCGTGGAAAAAGGAGATAAAAACTTACATCGTCGTCGCGTGGGCTTATTCGAAAAGAACAAAATGAATTGAATAAGAATGCCGAGGGAAAAGGAAATAAAGAAGAAATTGTACAGCAGTCGTGCAATGACGCCCAAGTTAATGCAGACGTCTTAGTTGAAGTGGCCGTTAACAGGCCGCTGGAAATGATCAAATGATTAGCAGGCAATTCTCCACTCAAGTCCAAGGGACGCGCTTGACATCCAAATGGCAGGCCCACGCACTGAGTCGCTTCAAACAGCTAAGTGGAATTTAATGAGTCACCGCGAAAAGGTTGAAAGACAATTGTCTGACGAAAGCGAATTGAGTTAAATGGTTGTGCTTTGCAGGAACGCTTATTACTGGAGAGAAACTTTTTAGAGGTAAATCGAAATCGCAAATCTACTCCGTGAGATATCGTCATGTCTGAACGGATGTCCCAATATCTTCATATTATTAACAAATACCATATTGTTGTCGATCAATAGCACGTTTACAAGAGCTTGTATAGGCGGAGATGCTTCAAAAAATTTATTTTGGAATGGTACGCGCATTCGTGCAGAGCTCTCCTCAAATGTTTACCCAACCTATGAATTCTTTAGAAATCCCAAGGAAAGGGAATTCGAAGGTGTAAGATTATGGAAGGTGGAGGGGTCAAACTATCCATCAATATAGCATAGACGTGTATTATCGCTTTAGAAAATAATTCCAAACTAATTCCTTTCGTACAACTTCTTGTGTTTTCTGAGAGGACTAGTTGTTGTGTGTCCATTCTAAATGGAATTACTCTCGAATTTAACAAAATTTCGCGTTGCCTTGTATGCCCGCATCATTCATAACATGTCTGGAGTCGTAAAGGAAGTTAATTTGTTTTCGTACTTTCAGAATTCTTTTCCACCCGCAGACTTGCGAATTTATGTCTCGCGTCTATTCCTCACAGACGAAGTAGACTATGCTCTAAAAATATACCACCATCAGCGTCATTACGTCATAGCCACACCTAGACAAGTCTCCCGTCATTGGGAGGTTCGGTAGATTTTCTATCCATTGTGCACAAACACTTTTGCTGAAGTGGACGTCGTGCATGATGTCATGTGATTGTTCAACCCTAACGTCAAGTAGTAAGGCAACCACTTCGATTGCGGGGCAGTGATGTTTCTATTACTTTCTCAACAGGAGCAATGTTGCCTTCATGATTATCGTAATGTTGGTTTCGGTTGAGCAGAATCCTGAATATTAGTAAAGCCTCTTCTGAAAGCTCTCTCTCTAAAAACTTTCTAGTTCATTCACTCACATAGGTGTAACTCGCAGATGCCACCGCACTGAATTTCTAATCGATGGTTTTATATGAATTCGATACTTGCGCTGAATAAGAATTTCACAACTCTTCCTTGACCATGATGCCTCTGTACTTATACGTTGCCAGTTCTTAATCCTCATAAACACAGCTGTAGTGGCTGAATGATATCGATGGATACGTGATTTGATTACAATGATATTATATGAGATTGACGATGGAACAATGGAGGAATGACAGGCAGAGGAAATGGGGAAATTTCGAGAATAAATATCCGTTTTGGCTACTTCAACTTCAATATCGATAGGCCAGTATCTGAACCCCGGTTCCCAGCGATGGCAGACTAGCGGTCTGGCTACTACACCACAGTGACTACCACTCATGGAAGTCTGAGGCAAACGCTTTTTCCGTCTCTCATGTAATGTTCTTGTGTTCCTGGAGGGGTGTTAGTGCTATTTATTAGGAGCTGAAGATCAACTTCACACAAAAATAACACAAAATATCAACAATTCACAAAACTACTGATATGCATTTTGGGGGGTTTCCATTGAACATGCCTCGATTTCAGACATTTCACTGTAGTTCCATAATTACTTTCTTTAGTAATAGTTCAGTAATAGTACAGTTTAGTAATAGGTATAGTAATAGTTCAAACAAATCTTCATCATAGTCGGACGTACCTGACTGTTGAGTGCTAGGCAGAGCAACATGAAAAAGAAGAGGACTCCCCACAGCTGGATGGCCGGCATCTTGGTCATAGCTTGCGGGTAAACTACGAACACCAGTCCCGGTCCTGCAACAGAACGGTCTCCGTCACAGAGCAATAGTAGACTCAACTCTTCCTTGAGCTCGTGATTTTACTTGTATTGAATAAATGTGATTCAGTTTGGTTTTAGAAAAAATCTAGTCGTGAAGGACATTACGCCATTACATTGCGTCTTGAAGAAAATAACGCAATCTTCAATTTTTCATAAACCTAACTTATATAAATGTAACTTATAATTGTAACGTATTCGTTGTTGTAGATGTAACATGTCATCCAAGTGTATAGGAACTGCACAAAAGAACACAAACAATTTGCGTTTGAGCATAAACACTCCCACCATGTTTCATGCAAATCTAAAATATTAAAGAAGCTATTTATTTACCATAATTGTTATTACGAAATAATTTTCTTTAAATATTCTTAACTATTTCACTATTATCCGCTTCAGTATTAAAAGGATGCTGTCTGCAGTATACGAGAGAGAATCGCGGTACCACCAAACACATAACTCCAATCTGGATCTTTCGCTGAAACACTGCCAGACATTCATTTCATCTAAGTGGGCGTTAGATTCTGAAGGTCACTAGCTAACACATCTGGCTTGAACTAGAAGCTAGCCAACGGCAGTTCCTTTGATATATCATCAAATTTCATCCGCATCTGGAAACATGTTAGGTCAAGCGTTGTAACTTTTGGGTATACGAGTATTTATGGTAGTTATTTATGATAAGAGTAGTAAAAGATGCATTTTATTTTGCGAGTAGTAAATGTTGCATAAAGAGAGGGATAGGCCGAGTGGCACAACTCTTCGAGCAAAATAAAATGACTTTTTCCACGAGAGTCGTACGCCATTTTAGACAGCCTTAACGTAGACAGACTCTCCTTTTACTTAAATTCAAGTATACATATTATTTAATTGTGTACCGTTAAGATCAGTTGTACCTGGTCAGACGAAAGTATTTTGTTTTCTAAGTTTTTGCATTCTCAGTTTTATTTGAACATTTGAGAATCGGCTCACTTTAGCTCACTTTTAGTGCGAAAAATCGAACTTCTAGCACGCCGTGCATGCCCTAAAAAGTAAACAAACGCAACGCAAAAGCGGAGCTGTCGTGCGTTATTGATTATAACCAAATGGAATCCAAATGTACATATCGAATCCGTTTCTGGAATCAGGTGACAGCTCTTCTCTAGCACCGACGAAGCCATCGCTAAGCCTCCGCCCCAACCTCCTCCGCATCCGCGTTCCCCTCCCCTTCGGCTACCGCTTCTTCCTTCATTTCCTCCGCCCCCGCCATCCTCCGCCTCCCCTCCTCGGACTGTCGCAAACCCCGTTCCCGCCTCCATTGCCATCGCGCGCGCTCCCAGCCAGCGATCAGCTGGTCGTAATTAACGCCCTCCCGCGCCGCCTCCGCGGAGCACAGTGGGCCAAACCCACACGGAGAGCGCACAGAGCTTGCGCCTTCTGTCAGCCCAATGCAAGCATTTCAACAGGCACACGTCCTAGTTATGCAACTTCAGATAAAAAGAAAAAAATATATACTTAATTTTCATTAACAGGCTTGAAAGAAACACTTTCCAAACTTCTTTTTAAATAGTTTGACACAATGAAATGCCACTCACAGCGAAATTTCTATTGTATTTGTTTGCACGTGATCTTTCTCAATTGTCTTTTCATTAGCCGATCAAATATTACAATATTTTAATCGTTGAATTTTTATCAATGATATCACAGGGTGCAAAATACTGCAAATATTGAAAAAGACCGGGAGAGGTGGCTCAGGGCAGCAACTGATGTCATTGCAGGGCTTCTGACGGAGACGTCTTAGGTTCAGGTCCCGACAGTGGCAGGATTTTCGACACTAGCCAGATAGGTAGGTCGAGTTTTGTCGTTGTTTGGGGGAGAATTCTAGCGGCCGGCTGCTCTGATTACTAGTTTTCCGTGGATCTCCGATCAACAGCAGACGACTATCGGAGCAGCACCCTAACAAACGGGCCACGGAACGAGCGCGATCTTTCCTTCCCTCTCCTTGACCTATCCTTCCCCTCACTTACACACACACACACTAAGAGGCACTACACTAGCACAAATGCCGGGAGACCGGTCGGGAGCTTAGAGCTTGTCCCGGCTGGACGGTGCCCCGCTGACGGGGGATAGGGGAAAACCCCGCTTGTCGACGGAAGGTCGATGCCGAATCTCACCATCCAGAGGGCAAAGATTCCTACCATCTCCAGAGGGGAAACATGTACTACGCTTACGGGACCAATAACCTTAGCCGTTGATGAGCCCGGAAAACCAAATTAATCAATCAATCAATCAATCAATTGAAGGTTAACAGCTTTATCTCTCATAATTAACAACACAATGAATTACTAATTCATCTATCGTCTTAGAATTTCTTAAATTATCTTCTTTTTTTTTCTTTCTCCGCGCGTCTTGGCCTCTCTCTGGCCCAGTGTGCGTCAAGAGGGAAGTGCTGGCGGGGCGGG